CTATAGCTGGTATATTATTAAATGCTCAGCTATCATTATTAATACTATTACTGCTACTATTTATGTAGTGTATTCAAGAATGACTACCTGGAACATTTATTGGTGGACCCATACCCAAAGAAAAGGCCTGGGCTTTATGTCAAATAAACTGATAAATAAATGCACATGTAGCTTTATGTTAAAATAATTTTTCAATTCTTTTCTTTAGCCAACTTTCCCAATTAACCAGCTCCAATCCTAATTGCTTCTGATAAAGGATTTTCCTATAGGTTAGTTTCAATTTCTATAAATTATCAGCTTAAAAACATACATATAAGACCCAAATCCTATTAAAATATAAAGCTTCTGTGACATATAAGCATCACTCCACCCAATCTTTTCATGCATTTTTTTAAAGATTAAGAGTCTAAAACAATAAAGCAATCTGTCTGCCGCCCATAATAACTCCATCTCACTCTGACTCTGCTCTTCTGTCTCATTGCACACTCATACAAGGTCCTTTAAAGCTGAGATTGCCTTCTGTAGCTGGTCCAGGAGGAGTCCCTTTGTTTCTGTTTCGAACATTTCAGTGTTGCTGCATCTCTGTTGTTATCTTCCTTATAGAATCATATTTAAGTAGATGCTGTTAGAACTATCTTAAGACCTACCCAGCCTGTTGTATTGCCCTGGGTCACCCAGAAGGGCCTACCAACTAGAAATGAGGAAAATGAATCACTACCTCTTGACAAAATAAACAATTTCCTTTTTCTTCTTCGGGATCATAATAACTTCTGGTTAGACAACAAAGGGCTGAAGTGAAAGGGTAGTGGGATCCCAGGTTGCTTCTGATAGAATCATCTCAAAGATTTAGTAGTTAGGAATTGGGCTTTTCTCAAATATTTTATGCTGTAAATTTGCAATTATCTGGGGACAAAATGCTTCGCCACTTTTTGAATTGGATTGGGGGAAAATACCCCAAAGTATGCAGCTGTTTATCAAAAGGGAAAACTAATAAGAAGGAAGAAAGTATCATTTAAAAATATTTATTTTCCCCCTATACCTTGAGGATAATACAAAAATATTTATTAAGGTCAGGCTCTATTTGGCTTCTTCCCAGGAATTATAAAAGACTTGGCTCCTCTTCTCCCAGCACTAAGAGATTTAGAAAATCAACTCAGATTGTCATGAAAATAAAGAAACATTAGAGCTGAAGATGCAATAGCCAACATTCAAACTAAGTAGAGAACAAATAGAAAACTATTAAATGTTGCTACTATTTTTTTTCTGTTCTGAAAACTGGATGTTTATTTGACTAAAGGAATTCAGGAATCAAATGTCCTAGATTAAGAATTACAACTTTTAGTATTAAAAGGGATACTCAATAGTTTAGAGGCAGTGGCACAAAGTGAGGTGTCAGAAGACCTGAATTCTAGTCTCAGCTCCACCGTGTATACGGGTGAAACTGGTGAAGAATCCTAACCTCTCCAAGATGAGTGAACTGGGACCAAATACTTACTAGGTTCTAATCTAGAACCTTGGGCACAGCGCTTAACTTTTCCTAGCCCTGGATTCACTATTTGCAAAACTAGGATAATAATAGAACCAAACTATTATAAGTAGAAGTGATGATTATATGGAATAACATATGTAAAGGGCATAGCGCTGTGTCTGGCATATAAGTATTCAACAAATATTAGCTGTAATTTATTTATTTATTTGTCAGGGAGGAGGTTAGAGAGGTTGGCAGGAAGGAATTCATGTCAAAGTTGGTGCTTTTTCAGCCTCTAAAGAAATGTTGGGGCCAGGTGTGGTGGCTTACGCCTGTAATCCTAACACTCTGGGAGACTGAGGCAGGCGGATTGCTCGAGGTTAGGAGTTCGAAACCAGCCTGAGCAAGAACGATACCCTGTCTCTTCTATAAATAGAAAGAAATTAATTAGCCAACTAATATATATAAATATAGAAAAAAATTAGCCAGGCATGGTGGCACATGCCTGCAGTCCCAGCTACTTGGGAGGCTGAGGCAGGAGGATTGCTTGAGCCCAGGAGTCTGAGGTTGCTGTGAGCTAGGGAGATGCCACGGCACTCACTCTAGACTGGGCAACAAAGCAAGACTCTGTCTCAAAAAAAAAAAAAAAAAAAAAAAAGAAAAGAGAAAAGAAATGTTGGTACCCTAGGGCAAGATAGAATTAATGTTGCTAATAAGCTGATCTTCAGATAGGGAGATTATTTTGGATTATCTGGATGGGCCAATATAATCACAAGTGTCCTTAAATGTGGAAAAGGTAGGCAGAAGTGTCAGCATGTCAGAGTAATGCATTAGCTTTGAAGATGGAAGGGAGCCATGAACCAAGGAATGTGGGCGGCCTCTAGAATGTGGAAAAGGCAAGAAAAAAGATTCTCCAAAAGAGCCTCCAGGAAGAAGCTCAGCTCTGCTGATACCTTGATTTTGGCCCAGTGTGACTCTTCAGACTTCTGACCTTAAGAACCATCAGATAATAAATTTGTGTTGTTTTAAGCCACTGAGTTTGTGGTAATTTTTTTTATGGCAATCACAAAAAACTAACACAGAGACATTGTTAAGAAGATTTGTTAATAATTGAATATTTGAGAGAGAGAGAGAGAGAAAAAAAGAGAGAGATATCAAAGATAATTCCAAGGCTGTGTTCCTTAAATACAGACGTTCCACGGTGGACATCTTTTTTATCTTTTTTTTTTCTGTCTGTCCAGTACCTTTCTCTTCTGAAAACAGCATTTCCCACTATTCTTTGTTTTCATTTAGAAATTTTTCTCTTTATTTTTTGTCCAACCATGTGGCTCTGCCAGGGGCTCTATTCTTATGTCACACATGCATTTTCTCTGCAGGAGTGGTTATGGTACTTAATTCCACCCAAACTTTTCATCTGATATTTTAAAAACCAGAAGTGAGAGAAGAGACACCTTCCATCTGGTAGCAACTTGATAGGTATGAGCCAACAATTTATCAGAGGTCATGGTTCCAAGACAGTAGAGCATGACTTTCGGCAGTTCGGAAAGAATGACACCGTCTGGACCAGGCACCGTGGCTCATGCCTGTAATCCTAGCACTCTGGGAGGCCGACGTGGGAGGATCGCTCAAGGTCAGGAGTTCGAAACCAGCCTGAGCAAGTGCGAGACCCTGTATCTACTAAAAAATAGAAAGAAATTAATTGGTCAACTAAAAATATATAGAAAAAATTAGCCGGGCATGGTGGTGCATGCCTGTAGTCTCACCTACTTGAGAGGCTGAGGCAGAAGGATCACTTGAGCTCAGGAGTTTGAGGTTGCTGTGAGCTAGGCTGACACCATGGCACTCTAGCAGAGTAACAGAGTGAGACTCTGTCTTAAAAAAAAAAAAAAAAAGAATGAGCTGGAATTTAAAGCATTCCAGTTGCTGCTTCCATTTATTCCTAAGGCCAATAGTAGACCTACCCTTTCACACCTCTGGTTACACAATAACTTCCTCTTTTTGCCTAAGCTACTCAATTTGGTTTTTGTCACTCCAACCAAAATATCCTGAAAAATGTAGGCAAAAATGAAGAAAATAATCCCAGTAATCAAATGAAAAGTTAAAAAAAACCCACATATATACATCTATTAACTATGCAAAAATTACCTTTATTGCACCTTCTGAATGTGAAATATTTCACTGTGAAATGAATAGGATGAAGTCCCGCTTCCAGGCACTTACAGATTTATTCATTCTGTAGTATGTGTCTGCATTACCAACATATTACACCTTTTGGCAATAGGTCCTCCCTATTATCTCCCTATACTTATTTGACAAATGCAAAATAGAAATGAGTTCAAGAAAGTCTGGTTTGTAAAACACACAAATGGGAGAACCACAAAGGTTAATTGGAAAAATTTTAGGATATTCCGACTCTAAGGGCAATTACCAGACTCTCATAAAATGCTCCCATCACAGTCAAAATACTTGCTGGGGAAGACTATTGGTGTGGCCCTGTGGCCATTCTTTTAATCATAATAAGCCAAATGTTTCTTAATTTCATCATAAGTAAAAGAACGGGAAATTAGTTTGGAATAAATCACTTCAGGCCCATAGCCCAATTCACTTGGATTCACTCAGGTGTGTGTTTATTTTAATAGCTGATCTGAAGGCATGTGAGATGACACAGCTGACCAAATCTAAACAGAAAAGCACAGAACTTAAAACTAAGCACGCATGCAGCATGGAATAATAATCAAGTTAGCTTCCTTAAAATGCTAAATGCCAGAAAACCTCCAACCATTAGGTCAAAGTTTACAGCAGCACAGGCCTTATGTTCTGTTTCTAAGAGGGGCCTTTAGGATTCTAGGGTTCAAATTCTAAGATAGCAACCCAAAAAGAGGGGCCAAGGATGGGTCTTATTTCACAATCCAAATTCTTCTTCCCAAGATATTCAGGTTTGTTCAATAATCTTTTAAAGAAAAAGCAGATTGTTGTCACCAAAAGTTGTTCGGTAACAGAGGCAAGAGAATTTTTCCTCAGGGAAAAGGGCAATCCCCTGAGTTGCAGTAGTGGGCAATGGTTGGATAGTCACCAACCACGATCTGGGCTCGCACACAGGCTGTCTGTGGATGAAAATTCAACATGCCTCTCTCTTCCTGAGAGCTGAGGACTGCACGCGATGAGGAGAAATGAGGAGAAAAAAGAATAATATGTACTGAGATGGATATGTGAAAGGGGAAAAGGCTGGCGGTGACCCAGGGTGGCTAGAGGTAGAGAAGTAGCGGCCCAAGGGTTGGCTGCTTGCCCTGCGCCAAGCTGAGATTTCTTCAGGGTGAGTGGAGGAGCCTCGACGGCGTTTCTGTCAGTGTTATAAGCAGACATCAAGAGTGGAGAGCTCCACCAGGGTGCCGCTAGCACCTAGTCTTGGCAGAGGCAGCGGAGGCGGCGAAGGCTCCGCCCCTCGTTTCTCACTGCCGCTTGGCCCCGCCCCTTCTCTCCTAACCCCGCCCCATCCCGGCCCCCGCCGCTTCCCACCTCCCTTCCTGTCGGCTCTCCTGGTTCCTGGCTCCTGCTAGGCTCGGCAGTATTGGGAGCGCGCAGGCGCGGCGTGCGGCTCGTAAGGCGCGGAGTAGCGGAGCGGGACGCGCTGTGAGTGTGGCGGCCGCGCGGGGCTCCTAGCGGGAAACGTGGTTTGGGCCGAGCGTCCCAGGAGGGCTCGGGGTCTGTCGGGGTTACTTCGGTCCTATGAGGAGAAACTAGCCAGGCGTGCAGGGGCGTTGGTGGCAGTGCCGCCTGAGGGTGTCGGACCCGGGCCGCGTGGGGAACAGAGTGCATGGTGGCGGGAGTGAGCGAGGGTGTGTTAAGAGGAGAAAAATTGAAGGAACGGGGTTCAGAGGCTGAAAGTCCGCACACGGGCTAGCAAGACCGGGAGGCTTGCCAAGGGTGCTGGAGGGTGTCCCAGCTTCAAGTTCAGTCCCCCGCTTGGTGCCATGAGCGGCGTCCCAGGCTCCTTTCCTCCCGCGCTACCTTCTCCGGGTGCAGAGTTGCCAGGAACGTTCCCGTAACAGGGGAGAGGATTTGGGGGATGTGGGCTGTCTGCCCAGGCTAGTGCCAAGGAGGGCGTGGCGTTCGTGTGACTTTCCTTTACCCCACCCCCGGGAATGTGTCCCTCTTCTGGTCCATTGTGCTCGTGGACGTTTTAACAAAGGCTATGACTGTTTTGTAGGCTGTGGCGGGTGACGGGGTGGGAGGTGCGTGCGAGGTCGCGCGGTGCAGCCCTGGGGGACGGGGGAGATGGGGGGCCCTGCGTTGGGGGGGAGTGGAAGAAATGGGAAAACCTTCCTGTTTCAGCTTTTTCCTTCTTCCTGGTCCACTCGCTGATTTTGATCACTAGTAGGAACAGACCCAAGAGGGATATGACTGGAAATTAGTGTATGTGTTTGGACTTTGGCCACAGCCATTGGTTTTGTGATTGTGCTGTTTGTGTGTTTCCTGAGTTCCTTTAGGAGAAAAGTGAAACTAATGGAATTTGAGAGGAACTAATTGAGTAAGAGGGTGGAAAGGTGGAGTGACAAAACTTAGAGCTAAATTATTGCCTTTTGATAGTCCATAGTATAAAGCCAGACTTTGAAGGATGTGAAGATGTGCAAGTCAGGGTAAGTGAAAAGGTGGTTAGGGTACTGTGGATTTTCAGTCAAGATTGGATTATTGGGCATGTGTGTAGGTGTTGCCATCAAGTTATTGGGCAGATTCACTTTAGAACCTTTAAAAATGATATTAAGGAGACAAAACACTAGGGCAAATATTGTAATATTGGATAAGGCTCCATAGGCTTTCATTTTGAAATTTAAAATCTTTTATGAAAAATAGCATTATGTGTCCTAAGCATAAATGTTGATATTGTTGCTCATTTGTTTTAACTTATTACAACAAAACAAACTGAACTTCCTTCTCCTCCACCCCTTTCCCTTGATTGTGAATCCTGTTTTATAAACATTTACTTTCAGATCTGAAGTATGTTTAAAGACACAATCTGTCCTCCACCCCCCCCCGCATGAAGTGAATAGAATTTCTTCTTGTTTTATTGTTACTTTATTCTTTCTTTTCTTTCTTTTCCTTTTATTTTAAGTTTTATGCAGCTAACATTACCAAATTTGAAGAGTGGTGGTGGTATTAGGGATGCTCTTTCTCTTTTCCGGTGGTGCCTGATGCACTCCTATTTATCCTTCCAGACTCAACCCAATTTACTTGGAAAAATTTGCCAACTTCTCCAGAATGAATTAATCACTACCTTTTCTGTTAAATTGGTATCACTGGCCTTATTTCTTTCTTGCTACTAGAACCTCAGTCTTCTGTGTTACCCAATACCTACGGCTACCTGGCATGTGGTAAGAACCTAATAAACTAACTTACAGTTAGATGTTAATAAATACTGTTAGAAAGATAGTAATTCATAGTGCATAAAGTTAACCCTTTGCACTCAGATGTTGAGTGTGACTCAACACGGTTAAGTAGAATAAAGGAATCGAGAAAAAAGCAAGTGAGTGCAAAGGGTTAATGGGATAGTAGAAGAAATTCAGAATACTGAAATTATATTTAATATTTGAGCAGCATTATTTGGGATATGGATAAGGAATAAGTATGGAAATATGTTCTCATGTATTAGTTATACTTTATCCTTCTAAAGGTGCAAGAACTCTGCAGATAAAGAGAAAATGGGGATCAAAAAAAGCCCAAGTTTTTCTAAAGGCCAACTTCTGATACTGAAACTACTGAAAAGCCAACTTGTAATATAAAATTAACCATTTGTAGAAAGACACAAAGAGGGTATTGCTATAAATTAGGAAGTACTATAAATGAATCAAGTTTGCCAGATGGTATCCTTTGAAGGCTAATATAATTAAAGAAAGCTGTTACCTAACCAGTTGTGTTGTACTTCTTCTAGATCTTAAGGTAGTTTGAGCCTTTAGTTACTGGGTTACTTTATGTTACAGTGTTCTCTGACAGGCTTGGTCTGAACTTTTCTGCTAACCTGTGTTTGGCATCTCTCTTAACTCCACCATCATCACTGGCCTTCCAGTCACATCTGGCTCATAACAGAAATTATCTCCCTCCTGCTCCTGCCAGATTCACTCAATCTCATTACCCCCACCTCCAGCTTTCATCTCCTGAGTGGATTTACCTATTGGAGAAAATATTATGAGCAAATGATCACTCACTTTATAAAAGAATGGAATTGATTCTTTGGTTTAAAAATGAGCCAGGATTGGCTACTTAGTTGAGATTTCTGTGCCTGCAAAGAAATCAAAGAAACTATTCTGGCCATTAATAGTAGGTGTCTAGTAGGCTATACCACCTAGGTTTGTGTAAGTGCACTGTATGATGTTTGCATAATGACGAAATCACCTAACTACAAATTTTTCAGAACGTATCCCCATCTCTGTCATTAAGTGATACATGACTATATTAAGAGCTTATAATGCCTAGCACATACTAATGCTTTAAAAATGGTAGCTATCACAAGAATGGAAGAATGGGCTCCACATGTATTTGCCATCAAATTGGCACTAACCGATCAATACTATGTTGCTCACACGGTAGTAATATTCTTCAAGGATTGGGGGATTGGGGGTGGGTAAACTCACAACTAATGGACACAGTGAGCATTGTAGTGGGGAAAAGGCATGCCTCAAATCATGGTTTGGGTGTGGCAAAGTCCTATCATGTAACCAAAATGTTTGCACCCCCATAATATCCTGAAATTAACAAAAATGGTAGCTATTATTTGTATTTGCTGTTTTCTTTTCTTTTCTTTTCTTTTTTTTTTTTTTGAGACAGAGTCTCACTTTGTTGCCCAGGCTAGAGTTAGTGCCATGGCATCAGCCTAACTCACAGCAACCTTAAACTCCTGGGCTCAAGCAATCCTTCTGCCTCAGCCTCCCGAGTAGCTGGGACTACAGGCATGCGCCACCATGCCCGGCTAATTTTTTCTATATATATTAGATGGCCAGTTAATTTCTTTCTATTTATAGTAGAGACGGGGTCTCACTCTTGCTCAGGCTAGTTTTGAACTCCTGACCTCGAGTAATCCGCCTGTCTTGGCCTCCCAGAGTGGTAGGATTACAGGTGTGAGCCATGGCGCCCGGCCTGTATTTGCTGTTTTCTTGTGAGCTTCCATTATTTCAGTAGCAATTAACTTCAGAATGTGGATACATTAACATCTCCCACCATGTTGAAGCTCCAGTTCTGTATTTGTAGATTCCTCCCATGTATCTCCAACAGGTTGCTTAAGCATAGTGGTTCTCAAATTTTAATATACACATTAGTGACAAGAATGCATACATTTCTAGGCCTCCCTCCCAGAGTTTCTGATGTTTGGGATAGAACATGAGAATTTCCATTTCTAATAAGTTTCTAAATGATGGTGATGCTGTTGACCCTGGGAAAACACTGAGCAGCACTTATTAATATCTAGATGGCATTCAGACAAGTTGGTGGGGAGGAAGGGAAAGGAGACCAAAAGACCAAACATTCATAGAAGAGCAGAATGCACTTAAACCTGGTAGTGTCAGATATACTGTAAAATGTGGAGAGTATAGGACTGAGAGAAGACACTTGGGTTTGATGACCAGGAGGTTTTCTTTTTGTTTGATTTTGGTTTGTGTCAGGTGCAGAGGGTTGATTTAATTATACTCCTCAGTTGGTGGCATATTATATTGTCATTTGTATGACCAGAAAAACATCACAGGTATTTAAGATAATGCTCCTTAATGTGGTATGCCTCAGATTCTCATAGGGAGTTGTTTCTACCAACATACTATGTTTAATGCCCTGCCCTTCAATTTAAACCTATCAAATTGGGATTTCCAGGTATGGAATGTAGGCATGAAAAAAATTCCCTAGTGAAGAACCACTTCTTTGAGCAATGGTGGTCAGGATGTGGAAGCAGTGAAAATAAACTACTTTGTTGGTAAATTGTTGGTGAAAGGAGAATGGAAGAAAACAATTGGAGTTTGAAGGTTTTACAGGATCAAGAAAATGGGAATGTGTAAAGAGAGGTAAAGCCTGCTGGAGCTGGGGAGTGATTGAAGGTATAATGGTAAGAGGATATAATTGATGGAATAGAATACTGGAGCAGGAGAGGAGAGTATGGAATTAGGGGCACCCAGAGAAGAAAGAAGAAAATGAATGAAAACAAAAATAAACTACCATAAAATTGGTACTGATTGATCACTTATGTGCACATATGGAAATATCATTCATTGGGTATCAGGGAGCGGGGGTGGAGGGGATGGGTACATTCACATCTAATGGGTGTGGTGTGCACTATCTGGGGGATGGACATGCTTGTACCTCTGACTGGAGCGGTGCAAAGGCAATATGTGTAACCTAAATGTTTGTACCTATATAGTAGTCTGAAATTAAAAAAAAAATAAAAATAAATACATGTGAAGGTAGATGTGGGAAAAGCTAAAGAACTCTCTTTAAAGGAGGTTTGTTAGCAAACTACTATTCTTCATAGAAGCTTGAGTAGTCTGTGAACTCTAAGTAGAATGGATATTTTTCAAGTTTAATAATGCTAGCAAATAAATTAGTAATTTCAGCTATTCCAACTACCTGTAATGGTTACACAATTGTATTTTTCCTCA